CAAAGATTAAAACTATTTGGGAAATCTGTTCATTCATATTCATATTCATATTCATATTCATCAGTTTCATCTGTTTAGATGTTCGACATAAAAAAAAAAATCCTCCTTTGGGCTCATGAACATCCTAACTGCCCCATCATGAGGATTGCCACTGACCATTTTGTCCTCATCATGCCACCAGCGTTCATGCAGGCAATCTTCAACTGTCTTTTCTTACTCTATGTGAAAAATTGTGTTTCCTGATTTCCAAGCAGTGCTATGTGGTCTATCTGCTGCACTTCATTTTTGTAGGTAAACGCCTCCACTCCAATTGGCTACTTTGTGCAGTGGCAGGAATGCCCCCTCTGCTCTGTCACTGGTTGCTGCCCTACATGGCCATTTTGTCTGGGCTGCTGGAATGCCTACCCTCTTCTGAAGAGACCTTCCCGAAGTGAATCAGTTAAAGGGTTAAGGTGAAAGGATGGGCTTTTTCTTTTTTAATAGGTTCGCTGGTGAACCAGTGAAAGGTGGATTAAAAAAACAAGACAAAAAGAGTTTTGCTAGTTTCTTCTTTTAGCTCAAGCGACAGGAAGAAAGATTAAACTGTTTTTTCCCCAGCAATCTAATGGTGGATGCAATGGATGGAAGGTGTCAAGTATGAGAGGAAATGTGGAGTCCTTGGTGCTCTCTGAGCTTGGTTGCTTGCTTGCAGACGTTTCATTGCCCAGCTAGGTAACATCAGTGCTAGTGAGTGTGGGGTTTTCTCCCTGTTTACATACAGTAGCTTGACCTGCTAGTGTGGGTGTGGGTGTGGTTTTCTCCTTGGTAGTTCCTTGATTGGGGTACTGCTTTCTGTTTGATTGTTTGCCTGGTGTTAATCCCTGCTTACAGTATCTTGGGTACTGGCTGCTGGAAGTGATGCGCTCTGGTTTTTTTGTTTCCTTCTTAGCTATTTTATTGCCTCTTTTGAATGGTGTGTAAATGTAGTTTATGTGTCTGTTGATGGCTGCTTTGTCGGAATGCCAAGCTTCCAGGAATTCCTTAGTGATTTTGGATTTGGCTTGGTCTAATGTGTTCAGTTTCCCAGCTGAAATTATGGTGGTATCTGTCCATGTGTTGTGAGATTAAGAAGTTTTCATCGTGTCTTCTGAAGCCAGCATATGGGGACTCATATAAAAGAACTATCAATAGAAATATGTCATCAAAAAAGGAAAGCAATTGGTTCTTAGTTTCCTGACATGGGTAGGAGGGGTAAAGAAGGAAGCCCAAAATCAACAGCTATAATAACTGTTCTCTGGACAGAACACCTGGCCAGCAACATCACCAAAGCTGAAGAACAGATTGAAATCTGGACAGCAATTTCTTAAGCCAGCTTCATTTATCTGGGGAGATAAGCAGCGTAAAGCTGCCATGTGCCCTTTGACTGATAAATCTTCCCCTCCCTGTTTGTTAGACTTATTGCATAATCCTGTGCCTATCTGCTTAGAAGTACCACATACTCCAAAATTTCAAATGAAAACACTTCTGTATTTGATAGCTATACAATCAAGCTATGCGAAGTTTGGAAATTCTAAAATATTTCAAAACTATCATTAAATTGAAAAAAAAAATTAATTTGGCTCACTTGCTACAACTGAGGCAAGATTTATCAAAATTTTTAAAATGTAATAATTTCTAACATTCACTATTGGGTATTGTTTAAGAGTCTGTTTCAGTAAAGCTTGTGGCAGCTAATGGCTGTGTTTTTGCTAAATAACAGAAATAATTTAGATCCACTAAAACTAAAATACAATTTTTTTTAAGTTTATGAAATATCAGGACATCAGGACTATTTCTGAAAGTGAAATTAGCCATATCCTTGAAGAAGCAGCTCGTGCCAACTTGCTAGAACTTCCTACTGACACAATCAATGCTCTTCGCTTGTTTCTTCTTCAGGTAAGGATTCTGAAAATGATGGAGATAGAAAATAACTTAAAGTGAAGTTAAACAACTGGCTGTTCTTCCCACTTCTGCACTTTCTTGTTGTCAGATTGGTTTCTGTACGGGCAACTACTAAAGGGATTTATTTCACCTTAGATGTAGTGTGGCCTGCTTATCTGAGTCTCTTTTGGCTTTTACTTTCAATGAAATAATTACTATTTGTGTTTTTCATAATTCTATTGTAAATATGATCTGTTTTCCACTTACATTTATTTTATGTATTTAATATCTAATTTGTGAGATAGTCTATTGAGGGAAGAATGAATGGTTACTTACCATTCCTCATAATCTATCACAGATAAATACAGGAAATCATAAATTAGAATAAGAACATACCTGCATGGCAATTCTGAAATGAATCACTTGATTCTGGGTGCAGATGCCATGAAGGTATGTTCTGCTTCCAGTATCAGTACAGAAAATGAAAAAGAGTAGAATTGTTTTAAGGTTTTATTTCAGGAACAAAAATGTGTAGAGTAGGCACTGAATTCATTTAAGTACATTTTATACTATTCTAGATCTATTAATACAATAAGCATAGACGTTACTTGTATTATGCATGTCCTCTTTAGCTCTTATTTTTATATGCCTTTGGGATCATCGTTAAAATTTGGTATAAACTGGCTGATTTCAAAGGAAGGAAAACATGCTGTGTCTTTTTATGCATAGGCAAGTCACATGGAACATTGCTATATGGCCAAACCTTGGAATCTTCTTGCAATTATAGATGTTGTAGAAGGAGAGCCATGTTAGTCTATAGTGGCAAAAAATCAGGAGACTGGTAGCACTTTTTCTGACTAATAAATGTTATTAGAAGATGTAAGCTTTTATGAGTTGAAACTCACTTTATCAGATGTGTCAGCTGCAGCTCACAAAAGCTTATGCCTTTCAATAACATTTGCTAGTTGGAAAAAGTGCTGCAAGACTTTCTGATTTATTGCAATTGTAGTAATTGGAGGAAGTAAAACAATGAAGGAAGGAACAAGTCTGTAAATTCTGTAATTTCTCTTCTTTTTATGTCAGCTTCAAAATGTAAAGAATCAAGTGGATTCAAGCAAAAAAGCTGTAATCCAAACTTTGTTGGAGAACCTCCCACCCATAAGCAGGCATCAGTGGACCCATCAAGGCATAGTGTATCTTTTTTGGAGGATGCGTATGGAGATATTAGAGTGAAATACAGTCTGTCTCGTAGCTAAGCCTGAAGCCTTGCAGTTTTGTTCCTAATCCACCAGGAGGAGAGTTTCACTATTTTGAACATTCTTTGTGCTTTTGACTTCTTTATCACTTGAAGATATGATGTAAAATATCAGCATTAGATATAAATGAAAATACTTATGTACAGTATTGGATATAAAGTAGCATTTTGCTTATCTATATGCACAGAGTGGTAAAGATAGGATCCAATTTTAATTTTCTTTCCCTGCTGAAAACTGTATTGGCTTTCAGTAGTAACCTAACAGAGCAAAACCATTCTGTTGACAGGAAAAAAATGAGGAGTGAATATCAGTTTCTGATTTGTCATGCCTATCCTTTAGTACTTTCCACTGTAACAAGGTGAAACAGAAGGATCTGTATATTCTAAATAAGTAATTTAGAATACACAGATCCTTCTGTCCTAAATTCATACTATTAATTTGGGAGAACATTATTTTGAAAAAAAAAAGAGTAACAGTGATAGTCCTTGATATTTCCATGTGCCACTTTTAGTATTAGAGATAGATTATAATCAAACCAGGGATCATTTTAGTAATTAATAATAATCATTTTTTCTCAACAGTGCTTTTAAGTGTTTGTATAATAGTTTCCTTTTGAGGCAAAAAGAGAGAACTTACTTGACAGAAGAAATAGGAGTAATCTGATCAGATAATAGGCATTCATTCCTAAGAATGATGTCAAAATGACAAAATATGTGTTATGACACATGTTTTGTCACTTTCCCCCACTTGTCTCTGCTGTAGCTGCCTGTGAGGGAGATGCAGCCTGAGGCTCCTTAGTTAAGCCTGTAACATTTATTCAAGTAGTTCTGAGTAAACTTACATAGAAATGTATTTTAAAGGAACAGAACTCAGGCATCAAAGTAGATTTAGAAATTGACAAAGCTTCCAGATTGTTTGATAAAAAATGTATATATTTTCTCAGTAATGTATAATTCTTCCAACTGTTTTGTTGTTGTTCTTAAATTTGACTTCAGATGTCTTGGGGATGTGGCAATATCTCTCTCACACGTTACAGACTGAAATGAGAAAAGAAAAATTAACAAACACAATATTATAAAAAGATAAACCACCTTGCATTTAATTCTTCTTAGCAGCTAATAGACATACAGAAAGAATAATACAAATAGTTAGAATCTTTCCCTGGATAGATTTAAAAATTTGCCTAGAAGTTGAAATATAAATTCATAAATGAAAAAAGTTAAAATGTGTTTTCCATTCTTTTGGAAATGGCATAAATAAAAATTTGCACTTCATTTCAAGGCTATTTTCTATGTTGTTGTTAAGAATTTGGAGGCAGTACAGTATTGTCTAATTCTCTTAAGTGCTTGATCTCAGTAAACAAAGTGTTGCATAGCTTTCATACTCAAATATTGTGATTCTTTTTGGTTAATATAGGAGTACTGTGTTTTTTATAGCTAAGCAATCACTTGTAGTTCAAGGACTTTAACAAGGAAAGAGGTTTATAAAAGACTAGTAAACTGAAAACAAGGAGTAAGAATAAACTTGTACAGTATGAAGGAAAGAAATGATCTGTATAAGGTATTAACTTTTTGTTTTAGATTTTTTATCCTGCCTTTATTATTTTTATAAATAACTCAAGGTGGTGAACATACTTAATATTCCTTCCTCCTCCCATTTCCCCCACAACAACCCTGTGAGGTGAGTTGGGCTGAGAGAGAGTGACTGGCCCAAAGTCACCCAGCAGCTTTCATGCCTAAGGTGGGACTAGAACTCTCATTCTCCTGGTTTCTAGCCTGGATGGAAAGATGGAAAGAGGATAAAGTTAATAGCTGGAAGGGCAACAAAAGTCTGTGAGGGAAAAAAGATCAATACCAGGGCTGTGCATGCTTTGAACATGGTTTTGAAGAAGTGCTTTGGACCTTGAATGAGGATCTGTGCATGCATACCACTACTTTAAGGACTCTGCTCCTAAAGTTTATGTGATTCTTAAAGCATCAGAGTCTTTTATTTTCAGGTGTCATGGAAGCCTGAAAAAACAGACTTCTTTAATGAATAGCAGTGAGGTCAAAAGCTTCCAAATAATTTTCAAAGCATGCACAGTCCTAGTAAATATTCCCCCTGCATTGAACTCAGCTCTTAGTACTACATGATCATGCAGTTTTTTTGGCAATACAGAAGTGGTTTTCCATTGCCTTCCAGTTTTTTTTTTTTTAATTCACAGTCTAGCCTAAAGCTCAGGGATTTCCCAGGATCTCTAAGTATTGACCAGGTCTATCCCAGCTTAATGTTTTTTGAATTAAGTCCAAGTTGTCTAAGGTGCTGTCATCTACTGGGGTTCATGAAGAAAAGAAGACATTAACTAAAATGCTGGCAGTAACTACTGTATAAAGAAGAAAGAATACATTCCAGTTCTAACACTAAATGAAAATGGCAGATTCTGACAAGAGCATGTAAAAATTAAAGTATTTAAAAAGAATAAAAAAGTATTCTTGGATTCAAAACCTGAGAACCTTATGAAGAAAAAAGTGGAGACAATAAAGAGGATAAAATATTTTGAGAAAATGGGAATGCATTTATACTGGGACATGTACCCTAAAAATTAAAGCTTTATCATGACAGACAAAATAATTGATTTGGGTCACTATATACAGGAATATGCCTAATTGCTGATACAGGGTTGCTCATAACAGGGCTATCAATCAGTTAAAAAAAATGCTATCTCTTGTGAGCACTGTTGTTTATGTACCCACAGCAACCTGATTCACACTCAAGGAAATATAATGGGAGGAGAGGGGGAAACATTAAATTCCAAAAAGCTCAATCAAGAGATATTGTTTAATGGCTATGGAATTCTGACTGAAAGGTGATGAGTCAAGAAATGGCATGGGAGGAATCTTCAACAACAGCTCTCTACAGACTGCTTTAAATGCTGGCCTATTTGTCTTTAATCACGTTCATTCTCATAAGAGTCTGCAACAAACTGTGATACCTAGCCAGGTAACAAAACGTTTGCAAGAAAATAACGAAGCTCAGAGAACCCCAAGGACTCCAAACTGATTATGTCTGAATTATGACACACAGATGGCAGTTTCTAGGATAGAAACTCCATCCTTATGAACTTGTGGCTTGATGTCTGATGCAAACATGTAAGCTGCATAGTTTGCATCCCGATGCATGTTTTAGCACTTGTCCTCTCTGGACACCCATGATTCTCAACTTCCTGGCTGCAGTGATATGCAAAACCTAAAGTAACCTCAACAAATGAATAACTCTATCCTTAACTCAAGCTCAAATTATTAGTGTTGAAACTGATTATAGTTAAGTCTGAAGTCCCCCTTTTTTTAACAAGAAGCGTAATTTTTGCATATAAGATAAATGCTGATTACATTATGCCATTTGATCTAAACTTCTGTTATGCAGATCAAATGCTCAGCCTCTAAGACGAAAAAAATTAAAATATAGGTATAATAGGATGAGTCATCTATATATCTAGTCCAGTAGTTTTTGAAAGTTGTTCAGCCATTTTCCAAAGACCAATGGATACATTTGTGAGATGAAAAAAAAGTACATTTTCCGGTAACTAATGACTACCATTTTATTACTGAGAAAATATGATTAGCCTGGGAATAATGGCTGCCATTTTCTTTTAGGTACCTATAATAACTGCACTTTATAACACATCTGGAAGTACCTCAAGGTGCAATCTTATGTTTTTCTGAATACAAGCCCAAACCTAGATATTTGATGGTCATCATGATTTGTTCTGTTGCTGTAACCAAGCTCTGAAATTCAGTGTCATGCTTTTTATAGACAGGGGTGCTGGTACAAATAAAATACATCTTTAGAAGCAACAGAGAGCATCACTATCAAGAATATTAATTTTTACTGAAACAGACACCAGACATCCTTTCATTAATCACTGATTGGTTGTATTTCTATTCCTCTTCTTACTTCTTCCTCAATTATTAACTCTTTACTCTCACTCAATCTAATTCTTCCAAATGCCTTTGCTGTTCTGACTTACTAGCTTTCCAAAATAGTCTAGCGTATTTCAATTTACGTTCCTGTATTGTACTTCCGTAATTCAAAAAAGCGCCTTGCAAAACTGCAAGTCACAAAACCATAATTTGAACGGACCAATGAGTAAAGAGAAAAGGACACTGGCAAAATTACAGGCGGGACTACAATACAGAGGATCCTGGGAAGCTGTCCGAGGAAGTGACGTGTCAGTGTAGGGTATGTGGTTTGCTAACAGCAGGGCCAGTCAGCCGAAGAAAGGTACCGGGAAAAGGAAGAGATGTTGCAGCATGACAGTCTCGTTGGAGTAGAGTCCTGCTCTGGTGAATGGTTGATGGTTGAGGCATCTGGTAAGGATTTTTGTTAGGGGTGTAGGAGTGGTTGGTTGAGTAACAAGCATTTTTCCCGATCTGACGCGGTAATATTCAGGGGCATATTACTGTTGAATTGCAGATTTGAGAGATGATCTTGAACTGCAGGGCAAGCGGGAAAATACTTCATAGTTTGCCCGCTGCCGGTTCTCCGCGATTCAAATGCTGTAGATAAGTTTGCATGTAGAAAAGGGTAATGCAAATATCGAGGAGCTAGGAAAGAGAGGCCTAAATGAGGTATTAGCATTGTGAAGTCTAATGAATCTCTAAAGAGCAGCAAGTAGAAGACAGAAGGTCGTCCCCTCTTTTCTGCTTGGTGACAGGTCTCTCTCTTTAGCACATAGTTAGGCAGTTTCGAAGGTCCCGCGCCAAAATCCCCGTTCTTTTATGTTCCGCTCCGTTTTTAATCGAGGACTGCGACCCCCACAGTTGAATCGGCATAAGTATGTTTTAGGCTCGCTGCTCCGTTCGCGGGAAAACAGCGAGCTAATTGAGGAACTGGGGCGTATTTGGAAAGCGAGGATTCTACAAATTTTATAGTTCTATTTTATCATAAGTGATGTACAAACATTTAAAAATAAATAACAGTGTGTTGGTGCTGTGAAAA